CCTCGCACTCTTCACACCGACACGCTCACCCACTGACAGACTGACGGCCACCAGAGCTCCGGATGCTTCCCTGAACATCCATCGCGGATATAAAGGATTGAGACGGACGGATTTTACACCCGAGATCATCTGGGAAGATATCGCATGTGAGGAGTGTTTAAGATTCAAGCTGGAACTTAAAGACACACTTTTAATTTAAATCAGAAAACTTCTTTTCTCTTTTTGAATCACCTAAACATCTAAATTTTCAGACAAAGACATTTTTAAAAAGGACTAAAACACGGCCTTGCATTTGGAAAACAAAGGACACATCAGCTTCCTGGTGACGTCTCTCCCGGCGCCTTGTCATCATGAGCAGCGGAGGAACCTCCACTGTTCCCCCTCCGGAGCCTCAGGCTTTCAAACGCGCCGTTCGGAAGATAAAATGCGCCGCCATGGTGGCTAACTTGGCTAAGAGCTGGCAGGGCTGGGCCACCGACCACTCGGAGAAGCAGGACGCCATCCCGAGCGGCTGGATGCCGACGTCCGTTGAAGAGGAGGACGAAAAACAACAAAACCACGTGGTCAAACTCACGGTGACGCCGCGAGTCGTCGTAGCCGATCGCAGCGACGCCGGAGGGAGTAAAATCAGAGCGTGCACGGTGACAAAGTCCATCCAGCCTAAACGCAGCGAGTGCAGCAGCAGCGATTTGATCAGCGCAATCAAAGGGAAAATGGAATCCGGTCCGGAGCAGAACAAGCCGTTCCTGGGCAACGAGTCACCGACACGGCGGCGCCAAATGAGAGCGCTGCAGAACGCAGGAGGAGGAGGTGGAGTCATCCAGGACCGGAGGCTGATGTTGCAGGAGAAGAAGCTCGGCTCGAGGAGCAGCAGCGTCGACACGGAGGACAGCGGGATCGGAGAGGAGGCGGGGCTTAGCGACAACGAGCCGAAGAGCGAGCAGAATGACATCCTTCCAAAGAAACACACGACTCGGCCGAAGGTAGAGTTTCTCTCACACAGATGTTATTAAAACTGATGGAGGAATCTTTTTTTAGCTTCAACCTTTGAAAGGAAAAATAATTTGCTACACCGAAGTAGCCGATTTCATGTAAAGGTCGTGGATAAATAATCGTCCAAAGAGACGGAACTACGACGACGATAGTTTGATCTGTTGGCTGAAATATTGGCGACTATTTCAGAGGTTGAAGTTCTGCTTTTTTACGCGTTATGAACGATAAACAGGAATCCCAAATCCCCTCAGCCTCGACGTCCTCTTTTGTAATTGTTTTGATTAAGAGCCCCCTGGTGGCGGACGCTACATACTGCATGTTTAAGAATGCACTAATTAATTAAGACATCGAGATCTCATTTCAAGACACTCAACGAGTACACTTTGCTCGCTGCATTCATAGAAGATTTTGATTTTTTGTGCGTGTACGGTCTTGGAATAAGATGTTTGTCAGCTGAGTGAGGTTGTTGTGAAATGAGATATTTAGGATGTAGATTTAGATTTTAAGATGTCACCGTGTGACCTTACAGACTGACTTTTAAAAATAACTAAATGAACAAAACAAAGAGGGAGGGGGGCGACGAGAGGGAGCAGAATTTATGAATTTGTCCTCATGAAAAGGTCGTTCAATCACTGACGCTTCAAATCTGTCAAGCTTTCACACTTCTTCTTCGTCTGTAAACGATGAGAGGAGATCTGTCGAGTTATTGTTGATGATGACGGGAACAAGTCAGACGATCAGGACCTAAACTTCCAGAAGATAAACTTTGTGTAACCGCTCTTTAATTCTTCTTTATATAGACATGACAGACGTTTACAGGTTTCTGTTTTCTTTCCTTACGACCACACAAAATGTTTCCACTCGTCCCGGATTCAAACTCGTCACAGGACAGGAGAACGCGTGTCAGTCTCACGGTCTCACAGCTCCGATATACAAGCAGAAGTCCCTTTGATGTCACCTGCAGGAACCGGACACCAAACTATAGGGCGCTTGAGTAACATCAGCAGTAAAAATCTGGGCTATAAAATGCCGAGGGGGGGTCGTCAGAGAGAGAACGGGTTCACACTCATAAAGACACAAGCTGGAGCGACAGCAGAGCAATGGAATAAATAAATAAATATAGAGAGAGGCTGTGGTGCAACGTGTTCTCCAACCTGACCTTCAGGTGGAACCACAGGGGGGGGTGGGGGTGGGGGGGGGGGGCTAGGAGAAATATGAGACAGACCATTCTGTGATTTATTTGTGCATGTGTGGGTTTGTGTGATGTTCAAGAAGAAGGAGGGATGACAGTTATTTCTGGCCTGATTGTGGTTTTACTAATCAGCCAATTTAATAATATTTGTCACATCAGAGAGTGGTGTCATGTCAGTCTGTGCATCAACCTTTAAAACCCGATCTCAGGAAAACAAAGAGCAGCAATCCTGCAGTTCCTCAAGTGTCCACTAGAGGCTAGCTGCAGAACCACATGAAGGCGCATACAAACTCGTTAGGTGTATGTGGCTCATAA